AAATAGGGATTAAGATAAAATATTGAAAGACAAAGCAGAACAAATACCCCCCCCCCCTAAACAAATATTTCACTTTAAAAAGTAAACGGTTTTGTACATTGGGAAACACCATCTTTTATCAAAGGTTTCACATCTTTAATTTAATTGAGTGTTTTTATCTGACGTATTACATTTTACTTCAAAAACCACCGGAAACTCTGTTTAATTTACTTTCTGGAAAACGAAACAAACTCCAAGAATTTATTGAAAATACAATGTGACTTAGTGCTTGTCGAAAAAAAAGAAGTAAATTTGTAGATGCATAGGCCTACATGTGGTTAGAAAATTTTAATAATAACCTACAGTGATATAAATGGAAAAAAACAAGACAAGAGAAAGAGGGAAAAAATCACAAAGGAATTATGTCTTATTCGTGTGTTCCAGCATGTGCCATTTGGATTAAAGGTCTACTTCATCCCTCCAATCAGAACTTACTTGACCTGTACTCACACCCTGGGTCATCACTCTCGGTAGGGTCAACATGGAGGTAGTCGCGATGTCATGCTCGAATTAAAGGACGATTGTAGCTTATTTCTAGAAAGAGGAACTAAAGTAGACCGTTACCCAATTTGCAACGCGGAAGTTCGGGGTTCGAATCCATGTTGGTGTGTATTACTTAAATATCTCTTTATTCTTTGAGTTTAGTGTATTGGTGAAAGACAGAGGTCTCCTTTTTTTGGGTAAGTGTGTTACGGCGCTCGCAACTGCGAAAAGCCATATGAGCGCGCGGGACAGACCAAACATTTTTTAAGTTGGTAGGAAATTTTGAATTTTGCCCGGGTGGCGCCCAAACCTACTCTTAGTTCGACTGGATGTATCATGCTGGTCTACGGGTGGACAGCTGTGGTTTGAATGCCAGCCTGGGCGTTCTTGAATTCGGGTCATTTTAACAGAGTTGCGAGGCTTTTATTTCAACTCATTTGCTCGGTCCTATTGGAGCTGGACATTCAAGTCGGAGGACACGCCTCTTAAAACAATGAAAGGGGTGTTAATTTAAAATCATCCAATTTTTTTTACTAACCGAGATCTCAACCTTAAAAAATGAACGACACATTTTCTATCTGGGATGTAAATTAAACAAAGTCTCGGGACAAACAACGAAAACAATAAAAAGAAAGACAGCACAAAGAACAAAAACGAAGAGAGGAAGAAAGAAACACTTTGAGCAGAAATAAGAAGTAATATAACAATAACTTCCATAGAAGAACAAACATGTCAAGAACGACAAAAGCGACGACGACGACAACGACGAAGACAAGAACAACAACAACAACAACAACAACAACAACAACAACAACAACAACAACAACAACATCAACAACAACAACAACAACAACAGCAATAATAACAACAACAGCAACAGTAACAACAGTTGCTCTGGCCCAGGCCTCCGTTATTATACCCAGTGCACATCGCCAATCAAATTCAGTTGAACTGAGTCGAATCAGCCCGATATTACTCCAAAAAGGGACAAAAGTTAACGTTTTGGCACAGTGCGACCTTGAAAATCAAACGCACTTGATTTTGAAGGTTACAATCGAATTTAGCCGAATTGGTAGCTTTTGGCCACTTTGGAGGAAAATCAGACTGGGCCCGATTCAATCAAATCAATCTAATTGGCAGTGTGCGACTCTTTAGATTGGGAGACTTTTCTCTTTCTTCAAAGAGCCACATAGCTCCGCAATGCCGTTTATAGCGTGACATTATTATTTAGTCGATACTGATAGATCGTTGAGGAAGCGAAGAGAGTGACATGAAAAGACCACTTTATTCCTAGTATTCTTCTGGACGTCTCGCAAGCCAGCACTCAAGTATGTGTGTTTATGTGTGTGTGTGTGTGTGTGTGTGTGTGTGTG